GGTCTCTGCGGCGCCAGGCTTGGGTGCAGAAGCCAGAGTACCCCAGGGGTCTCCCTTTCTGTCTCAAAGCTCTTGGCAGCACTGAACTAGGGCCCCTCTTTTTTCTTCTATCAGGAGGTAAAATTAAGGTGATGCATTTTATGCTACATATTAAGTGTTTTATATAGGATTATTAAAACAAATATTACAGTTCTTTGTGCCATTAAAAAAAGCAGTTTGAAAGTTCTGTTGGAGCAGAAAAGTGAGTGATTGGGTGAGATGGTACAAAAAAACTTGTGTTAGAAGTTCTGCGGTTAGAAACTTCCGCCTTCACTTGCTTCTTGAAATAATATGAGCAGGAAAAAATAGCCCGACACGCTCTGCAGGAAGTAGCCACGGACCCTCAGGTTAGACACAGGTGGGTGCACTTTGTTTCTTGCTGTCTCTGCTGCAGAAGAGAGACTTGGCTGCTGCCCCTTGCATCCAGCCTTTCACCAACCTAAAAATTAACTCTCTGCTGGCCCTGGAGCCAACGGGGCAACCACGGCAGATGCTCCTGCTCAGAGCGGATCCCCAGGAGCGGCCGGAGCGAGGCAGGCTGGGGGCGAGGGGCTTCTCTGGGGGGCACGGACAGGTCCCACACCCTAATGCTGTGCTGTGAAAACTGACAGCTGGTTGCGTGTTTCCAGGTGAGATGCCAAATGCCTGTGGCAGCAGCTTTTTAATAATTTTTTCTAATATTTCTAATACTTCAAAGAGATGCTATCATGAATGATATGGCAGTAACTCTTGAAACGGCTACAGAGTCATTTTTGAGGTGCTGCTTGAGTTCAGGGGTGCTTCTGACTTGATGGAGCAATTAAATACTCCACAGGAGGATGGGAGTGGTGTTAAACTGAAAGGATAAAGCATTTGGTTCCTCCCCCCTCCCACAATTTTACTTCTAGGTTAGAGAGACCTTCCTACTACAGGTCTGTACCCTAAAGCCCCATTCATTGTAAAATTTGCTTAGCCGATTCAAAATCCTGCCAGATAAAGGAAGCGAAGCAAGTCTCAGTTATGATTATTCGGAGTAATTAATTTTAAGCTGTTCTCTTTAATTAAAGAAGAAAATTGCTACTTTAATGTATTTTCTTCCCTTCCTGACCTCCAAAGTTGAGCCTGACTTTCCAAAGTACCTTGCAGTTCTGCAGAGTTTAAGCTTCTTGTCATTCCCAGTGTGTTACTACTACTATATGGAGTTATTTTTCTAGCACAAGCATCATGTTTGGGCACATTGGAAGCCTTCCAGAAACAGCATTTGTTATAACTGCTTTAAACTAGCTACTTAAAATGACTAAGATGAGGGGTATCAGATAATCCACTGATCACAGGACAACCAAAATACTACGGCTGTCAGCCAAACCCAATTTAAAATACTTATATGGCCCTTAAATGACAGCAGTCAAACAGTGTCACCAGAGACTCTGCAGCAGAGAGGAAAAATCACCACTACCTGACGACGGAGGCTATGGTGTTGGTGTGTTGGGTGGTCTGGGGTTTTGGGTTTTTTTCACTGCTGTATTTAGATTTTAGATTTATGTTGGGTTGATTTGTGTTGGGTTGTTTTTTTGTTGTTTTTTTTTTTAAAGCAGCCCCTTTCATGGAAGAAATCTTCAAGACAAGGGCTTGGCCAAGACTTGCTCACAAAACTTTTCTGATCAGCAGCACAATTTCTTACACCCTCCCATGTATGTGCACATACTCGCTCAGCCCTTGCTGCCATGCTGTTCTGGTAACAGCCCGAACAGACAGCTTATTCCATTTAGGGAGATCTTTATATTCTTTTGCCAATTTATAAGCTACATCTCCATGAAAGGAGTCTGCCAGCGCATTTCTGCTCCAAAGCGTAGGAAGGGCCCAGTGCTCTGCCGCCTCGTGCTTTGCACAGTCATTTACATCTGCGCACAACGGCCGTAACTCCACCACCCTCAGACACAAACGTTTGCAGGCAGCAAAATAAAATACACTGCAGAGGAAAACCAGGCATAATTCACAAGTAAAAATGCTTTTCAAAATTCCACCTACTTTCTAAGAGGATAGAGCCTTTAGCTCTTTGCACCAACAAGTGAACTGGGAAGATTTAGTCTTTGGGACTGTAAACTTACTTCTGTGCACATTTAAACAGTGCTAATACACCCGGGAATCAGGTTTTGCTTGGGTTTGATTCCTCATCAGGGAGTTGCTTTTCAGAGGCTTGACTTCAAACAGCAGTAAGCACAGAGGGTTCTCAGTATCAGGGGTGGAAAAACTGCCTACGTGAACTCTTTGCTAGAAAATTGTATCTGAATTTGCCCGCAGTCTGGTTTCAGAAGCTTGACTAATACCGAGAGGAGATTGTAACGATGAAAATGATTCATCACTGTTGCCCTGCAGACCCCTGCCCTGCTGCTAAATGTTGCAAGGCAGACCCAGCCTACTTCTAAGGGAACCAGCACGACAAGACCTTCGGAGCAGCCGGAGCTTTAGGCAAGAAGCGTTGGCAGGAGGAAGCCCCGGCCAGGGAACGGGGCTGTACACAGGGACCAGCGGCAGCCGTGCTCCTGCCAGAGCTACCCAGCCCAAACCCCTTCCTCTTGGCTGCTCATCTCACTGTGAGCACCAGCACTCAGGAACCAGTGGAACTGCCTCAGGAGGGTTTTACTTCCCTCGTATCTCATTTATCCCAAGATCCTGAAGGCTTATTTGAACACCAGGTGTTGAAGAGACTTTGACCAAGTTTAGCCACAACATTATAGATTAAGAAAATGGAGAAATTGAATCAAAACACAAAACGCTGGGGGCATATTTTATAGCTTATGATTCCACACATCAATTTTTTTCCCCCTAGGGTCAACTGAACGAAGATAAACTGAAGTGTAAACTAAGGGCACTTGAAAACCAGCTGCAGGCCTGCACCCAGGTAACATCTGATTCACTGAGAAACAAACACAGGTGAAGAAAGGCATGAAACCAAAATAACGAACCATCTAATTAGGCTGGGTCTCAGTTTCTAGAGCAATCGGATTAGATATGGATCTGAAAACAATTCTTCCTCTATGTTGAAGCAATGCTTCACAGCAAATTAGCAGTAGCCTTCACAAACTCTGGATTTGCTATTATCGAGGCTTAGCAACATTAGGAATATGTCTGCTAAGACCCTTCAAGCACTTTCATTCTTCCTTTAAAGAGTTACTCCAAAGAGTGTGTGAAAAAGATCCTGATAGAGATGGAGGACCAGAAGCAGACCTACGAGCAGAAGGCCAAAGAGGCTCTTCAGAAGATGCTGGAGGACAAACTCCAAACAGAGCAGCAGCTGCAAAACTCCCAGGTACGCAACACATTTTACTTTGGCTTGGCTTTAACCCAGTCTGACTGTGACAAAGAGCCCCCACATCAGAGAGAAAGGCCATGACTAGCTCACCATTAGCAACAAAGATGCAAAAATGCCATTTTTTAGCTACTGAGCAAAGTCCAAAGCAGCTCAGTAGCAACCTGTGTTCATTTTGTGAGGTACACATCAGGCTGCTAAAAACAGGACACACTTGGGGAAACCTCTGCGTGAGTTGTAAGTGTAATCCCTTCTCCAGCATCCCTTTGTCCCACTCCTGCTCCGCACACAGGCAGGGAGCAGCAAGACACATACACTGACATCCAGAGCATGAGGTCTCCAGAGATGCTTTTTCTAGAGTTGCTCTTTTATGTGAAGATGGATTTTCTCCAAGAGGTAGCAATATGCTTTGACCCACAGAATAAGATTTTTTACTTTCTTTTCCTGAAAATACCAGTTATCCCAAATACTACCAGCTTTCTAAATCCTCCCAGCAGCATGGCCAGGAGGAATCCTCTGCCCGTGTTCACTCTGTCCATCAGATGGCATCAGCCCCACACAGGTTCTCCTGACCCTGGCACTGCCCCAGCTCACCCGGGACAGCCGATGCCAGCACTGAGGGGCTGTTTGGGGCAGCCACGGGCCACAGCACCAGCGTGCTTGCTTCCTCCCCAGAGAAGCCTGGCAGCGACGAGAGAGGACCTTGCCTTCTGGAAAGAGAACTACACCACGCTCAAAGCCGAGCTGACCAAGGTGACCACAGCGCACACTGAGCTCGAGAACAGCTTCCACATTTTGCAAAGTGAACTCCAGGTACGTCAGTTCCCTGCGGGAACAGCGTCCGCAGGACTTGGCATTTTCCCATTTGCGAGCACGAAAGCCCCCAGGTTGTGATCACCAAAAAAGCAAATGTCCCTTTGACAAAGCCCAGTGGCCACACGTGCAAGGTCGTCCTTAGCTTGGGGCTGCACAGAAAAGCAGCGAGGCCACACGCTGCTGGGCTCAGGGGTGCCTGGGGGGCTTCTCGCCCTCAGCAAGCGGATGCCCAGAAGGAGCAGCTGGGCCATGCCCTGCGCAGCCTGCAGAGCGAGCACGCCGCGCTGCACCAGCGAGCCAGCGCCTTGCGAGAGGACAACGACCTGAAGGCAGAGCACATCAGCGCCATCGAAGGTACGGCGTGCAGGGAAACTGGGGGGGGGCTGCTTAGAGTGGCCGACAATATCCATTCCACTTTACACATGTGGAGAAAAAGGAAAACTCCCATCCCCACATAAAGATACAGAGATCAACCGTGATTTTCCTCCATCATCACTTCAGATAAATTGCAAGAAGAACAAAATCAGAAGGTGACGCTGGAGGCAACAATCGGCCATTTGCACAGTAAGTGCCATAAAAATGTTCCAAGTAAGAAACCTGCGGTAGCGTTGTCAATAACTGTGGCTTTTCACATTCACAGGCTTGATACAGAACCAGACCAACAAACTGAAGACCCAAAAGGCAACAGTGCAAAGGAAAGGTCAGCAAACTTTGTAACTCCCACCTAGCACTCCTCTCGCTGGACACAGGAACCTTAGACCGGGCTCTAGCAGAAGTCTACATTGGGTTAGAATAAAGAATTATTTTAAGGCTGCACAGAGCAAGCTATTATATTTTTCTAGTTAACATTAAAACATAAGTGTATTTATGATAGCAAACTTTAAAAAAAATAAATGGACTTCATTGGAAATTCTACTTCAGTGGCTATGCCATTTTTTTTTCCAAACCAAATAGATTCCAGTTTATAAATACAATTACAGCTGTACTTGAGGAAAAGTAACAAAGATATTTCAACTCTCCCTTCCCTCCATTTCTGGCAACTGCTTAAAAATAGTTCTCTAAAGATGATTAACTTGTAGCTACTGCAGAGGCAGGCCTGGGATAACTAACTCAGCTCCTGTGTCCTCAGCTATGTGTGCAGCACACCAATATTATCTTTAAACTACACTGAGTAAACAAGATCTAAAGGAAACTGAAAGCCTGGTCCCGTTTCTCATCAGAAGCCTGTTTTCTAGACCAGGTTTTCACCGCACAGACCCCGCCTCTCACTCCTGCCAAGGAAAACCAAAATGCTCTGTTAGAGCAGCCAGAGGAGGAGAAGGAGGAGGGAGAAGAAAGTCTAAAGGATGAAATGCAGAAACGGACATCCCAGCTTACAGCAAAGGAGAATGAGGTGAGGAAGTCACTGAATCACAGCTGGGACCGAGCTCCCCGCGGCTCTACGCGCTCCAGCAGCGGCACAACACAACACAGACCAAGGCTCCTGGAAGAAATCTAAGCTTCTGTCTCCTGTGAGGATTACCTCTACTGAATTTTTCTCCTGATACCAGCCTCACCTAAATGCCCGATGCAGCATCTGCATGCAAGGGCAGGGCACCAGCAGGTAGTACGTGGGCCAGCCCAAGCAGCACAGCCCTCCCCATACAAACCACTTCTCTGTGTCACAGGGAAAAGCCAAAGCCACAACTTAAGAGCTGAAACCCTGAGCGCAAAAGAAGGATAGGAGGAAGAAAAAAAGCTTTGCAAATAACAGGAGAAATCTACTACTGAAGCAACTCCCTTACAACTAGGCCACAAAAAAAAAAAAAAAGCAGCTTTTTAGTCTCTTATGCACTCCTTCCCATCAAACTGTGCCCTCTGCCAACCCACAGCTCTTAAAGCAGTACCCAGAGAGCAAGGATTTGTAAAAAAGGATTTTAACTTACTTTGGCAGAGCTCAGAGCCACCCAGGAGAAGAGCTTGTCCTACTAACCCACACTGGTGAGTTCACGGTCAGCATCACCCAGCACCACCTGGGGAGGGGTGTTGTAACGCACAATCACAGCAAGAGGGAACAGCTGGGGGGGCCCAGCTGCCCTCACACTCTTGCAGCCCCTTGGCACCGGCAGCCTCCTTCCACAGCTGCTGCTGCCCCGCTCACAGGGAAGGCAGCAGGGTCTCCTGCTGTGTGGCTGTTCAGGAAAAAAAGGCGCTCCCTGGCTTTTGGGGTTGGCAGCACAACCGAGGCACTTGGTCCACGTGTCCCAGGTTCAGGGGCTTTAAAGGACTTTGTCACAGCTCCCACAGTCAGGGAGATGCAGGCTCGATTTCAGGATGAGAGGAAAAGTCTGCCAGGAGTTCATGTTCCACATCTTCTTCCTGATCTGCACACACCTGCAGTCATAAAAAATAAGTATTGATTTTTTTCCTCCATGTGATGTGAAACATGGCACCAAAGCCAAGCAGATCACGGTGTGGTAAGAGACTGAGATCTGCTCTGTCCTCTGTAGGCCCTTATGGACATAGAGGTAGCAGAAGTGAAAATCCCGTCACTGCAGTGCCTGTGCCTGGGCGAAGCACTGCAGCGGCTGCGGGATCCCCACTGCTCCCAGTGAGCACGAAAGCAAGGGGATCCCTCCTGCTAACTCTGTCCTCACTCTGCTTGCAGTGCCTGGAGCTGCGCTCGGAGCTGGAGGCCCTGAGCGAGGAGTACCGCTCCTGCCTGACCAGGCTGCGCCAGTGCCGCAACGAGCTCAACCACTTCCAGAGCAGGCAGGCCCAGGTGGGAGACGTTCCTCACCCCGACTGCCCACGCTTTCAGACTGGTCTGGGAAAAAATCCCCCGTTTACTTCTGCAGTGCAGAAAAATGAATGATATTTGCTAGGGATCAGACAAGAAGTTTCCTCTCCCCACCAATTTCCTTGGTGCTTCTCTCTGCAGAGACAGCGCGGACACTGGATCCCTCTCCTGGCGGTGCTGTTCGCAATAGCCATAGCCTCTGTGCTCGCAAGTTACAGACCATGAAGGACCTTCTCGATGACTGACTTCACTGTGGGAACTGACTTCTGATTCACCAACAGCCACGCGCCCTCACCGCAGCGTGCCTTCTGCTGTTTTGTACTTGCACATTTGGTTCAGGTCCTGAGCTGGTATCACTCCAAACTCCCGTGGCTCAAATAAAAGCTGGAACATCACCCCTTCCCTTGGCTGCCTTGCTTCTTCTCCAACTGCCACTGCTGGGGCTTGCGGGGGGGCGGAAGGGGCAGAGCAGCAGGAACGTGAGGCATCCTGTGCCTTTTTCATGCCCGGAGGCTGAAAGGACTGCAAAATTCTCTTCCTTTATCGCCTCTCTAACTGGGAGGTATTTGACCCTGGACTATCTCTACTGGTACCTGAGAAAGAAAATCAGTTTAGGGAGGGTTTTTAGCACAGTCGCCTCACACTCTCCCCTGCACTGCTTCTGCAGCGGGCAGGTCCAGTTTAACCCATCCCTCTTCTAGCCTATCTCATGGCCAAGCATCCCCAGTCACGTACACTTCACTTTCATTGCCAGCACCACAATAATTTGACAAGAGATAGAGGTTTTAAGACCCTTTTGCAGACCCTTTGACATCACCTCACGAGTAGTAAATGTTACATGAAGCCCAAAATAAACTTCACAATTTCAAAATACCACGGTGTTCCCATTTTTTATTAATCCTCAGCTTTTCATAGTAAATAAATAGAGTCTAACTTTGGAGGGCACAGTCCACAATCCAGATGGAAGCTAGCAAGCGGCTCTGAGCGCATACATACACACACTGATCTTCTGGAAGGACACATGTCTGATTTGCAACTGGCCTACAAGGTCCAGGGCCTAAGATCATCAAAATTCAGCCTTTGGTGCTCAAGGTCTTCTTGAGAAAGCCTCAGTGAGCCATGCATATAGGAACAAAGCCTACCACCTCGGTCCCCGATACAAGTGAGAAACAGTTCAAAAAGTCTTTGTTTTACAAGGCAACTGCTGGAAGAGTCACCACCTCACTTGCAACACAGAGATCCACAAAGTCGCTCTGCATGCTGAAGGCCTCCTCCAGCTCATCGCGCCAGGCGTCCAGCACCCCCTTCAGTTCTGTGCAGAGGCTCTCTGGGACGCTGAAGGAGTAGATCTGAACCCTGAGACCGTCCCTTATCCTGGGGCAGGAGGCCTGCACCGTGAACACCCTCAGCGGCGTCAGCGCCAGGCAGTTCTCAGCACCCTCCCCTGCAGTGAAGGCGTACGCCGCCGGGTAGCCCAGCAGCACCCCTACGACGGTGCAGAGGTTCCAGCCCG